TAGACTAGGAAAATTTTGCAGAAAGTGATGGCTCACGGTAGAGAAGTTAGATATCACTATGGATAGTACTGAATCATTTCGAGCTAGAAATCGTTTCAAATTTATTGATCCATAGTAGATAAGTTTGAAATCACTATGAAAAATAGTTAATCATTAAATATATTTTACCCGCCATAAGAATAATATCGCTCCACGGAGAATCAGACCTGAAAAGTTTAGAATCACATGAATTTGATGTGAATCAGACCTGAAAAGTTAAGCATTACATGAATTTGATGTGAATCAGACCTGAAAAGTTTGAAATCACATGAATTGAATGTGAATCGATCCTGAAAAGTTTGAAATCACTTAAATTTGATGTGAATCAGAGCTGAAAAGTTTGAAATCACTTGAATTGGATGTGAATCAGACCTGAAAAGTTTGAAATCACCTGAATTTGATGTGAAACAGACCTGAAAAGTTTGAAATCACCTGAATTTGATGTGAATCAGACCTGAAAAGTTTGAAATCACTTGAATTGGATGTGAATCAGACCTGAAAAGTTTGAAATCACTTGAATTTGATGTTAGTCAGACCTGAAAAGTTTGAAATCATTTGAATTTGATGTGAATCAGAGCTGAAAAGTTTGAAATCACTTGAGTTTGATGTGAATCAGACCTGAAAAATTTGAAATCACTTGAATTGGATGTGAATCAGACCTGAAAAGTTAAGAATTACATGAATTTGATGTGAATCAGACCTGAAAAGTTTGGAATCACTTGAATTTGATGTGAATCAGAGCTGAAAAGTTTGAAATCACTTGAATTGGATGTGAATCAGACCTGAAAAGTTTGAAATCACCTGAATTTGATGTGAATCAGAGCTGAAAAGTGTGAAATCACTTGAATTGGATGTGAATCAGACCTGAAAAGTTTGGAATCACTTGAATTTGATGTGAATCAAAGCTGAAAAGTTTGAAATCACTTGAATTTGATGTGAACCAGACCTGAAAATCTACTAGATCAATAAATTTGAAATCATTTCTAGCTCGAAATGATTCAGTACTATCCATAGTGATATCTTACTTCTCTACCGGGAGCCATAACTTTCTGCAACACTTTCATAGTCTAATTAAGAGCTTTCTGAATGTTTACCACAATAATTTAAGTGATACAGTGAATTTGTTCAAATTTTAGAGAAAATATAAACTTTTCTTGGGTGATGCTAAACTTTTTTGGGGGTGATGCAACATTCAAACGAGTGTTGCAATACTTTTCCACGCGAGTCATCACTTATGACGGGTAGTGTATGCATAATATGGGCCGCGGTTAATCGCTTACCGGCCTTATAATTGAATGAGGTAAAATTAAATTGCCCTGTAGGGTTGTTTTTGGTCTTTTTTTAACCAATTTTATTTTAGAGTATGCGTAGAAGTTTTGCTCATATTTGCTCCTTTTGGAGGAAAGTGTCCTGGAAAACTCGACTTTTGTTACACAAAAACTGGAATAACTTTCGAAAAACAACATCTATCAATCCCCACTTCTTCTCAAAAGATGCGTCCTCTCATGATCCTGAAGTTCTCTGAAGATGGCTCTCAGAATAAAACAGAAAGAAAAAAGTTAGAACAAAAAACAGTTTTTTTTAGAACCACCCTATCTGAATTTAGAAAAACGTACATAGAATTATCAGGCCTATTCTGCGTGGCGTGTGAGGTGAGGTGACACGCTCTCACTTGTGAAGTGACAATTGTCACCTCGGGTGAGGTGACTCTCCGTGCAAATCAAATGGAGAGTCACCTCACCCGAGGTGACAATTGTCACTTCACCATCACTTCACTGTCACTTCACCTCACAAGCCGCGCAGAATAGCCCTGTATGTGTTGATGAGAAAGAATTTTGATGTTTTCAGCAAAGTTGCTTCAAACTAAATTATCTTTGACTTTGTAGGAACATGTATTCCTCTAATACATATAAATAAAAAGTTACGATCTTTTATTTTGAAAAAAGAGGACCACCCTAGTCACTACCTACACCAAAAGGAAGATCTTATCTTGTAGACAAACTCTTCATAAGTCATCAAACCCCTAGAGTGCATATTTTTCGAGATATCGATTTTTGTCGTGAAATTTTCCGTTTTCGACCATAGTGCTGTGATGCGAAAGAAAAACCACTGTGATGGGTGGAAAAAATCACAAGTAAAAATGAATGTTGTGTGAGAGACCGGGACCGTGTTAACCGACTCAGCGCTCTATACGGAATCAACATTGAAAGTTTTGATATGAATGTTTATTTAGCACGCTCGATTTACGCCGTGAAGTATGAAATAGTTGATTTATGATGCATGATGGATGGTATGGTACTGGATAACTTCATTGACATTTCCGTACGTACTGTAACATTTGATAAAGAGTAGCAACTTGTTGAGATATTGTTAAAAATCTCACACTGCTTCAGTAATCCCAAACTCGGTCTACATATTCTAAACTCGGCCTAACGCATTGAAACGCAATTGAATTCACTTCGCCCTATCGGATGGAGATCAAAATTATTAATAATTATTAAATAAATTATGGGTGCCTACATTCATATCACGCCGTTCTTATTGACTTCGTTCGGTAGTTACTACTTACTAAAGTATCGTGCCCAATGCATAATTGACTTGTTAGCGCCGAAATCATGGATTTATTGGATGTTTTCCACTTGTTAGGCCCAATATGGGCGATTCGGTCCATAGAACTTTTTATGGCGGAATTTTTTGTTTGATTTATAAATAATTTTTGATGAAAAATATGCTATTTTCAAATGTAGATATCTTAAAAAGGAGCAAATGGATTTGAATGCTGTTGGTTGCATTTGAAAGATCGATTTATAAACGATTAAAAGCGCATATTTTTTAAGGTTTTCACTAGTGGGTTGTTCATAAACTACGTAGACCAATTATGTGGGGTTGTAGTTTTTTTTAGCATTTAAAGAATAAATTCAAAATGGTGTTCAAATTCAATATGGACGCCAAAATTTCTGAACAAGCCAAATGAAAACCCCTTACTTTCCCCTTTTTTTAATCTTTGAAGATATAATTATTTTAACGAATCAAAAATACCACAAAATAGAGCACCTTTGAAAACTGTTAGAGCCCCTAGTTACCGAGGGGTCCATAAATTTGCCGATCTCTCTTTCTAATTTCGCAACTAGAACTTCTAAAGGAGTTGGTTTTTGAGAAACTCGTGCAAACCTTTGACCGGTTTCAGCGAGAATTGCTCTTCTTATAAATCTCAAAACCAGAAGGTGACAGGAAAAATCCAATATTTCAGTGGCATTGATCATATTTAAAAACTCTATTTTAATGTTTGACCCTTTTTTTTACATTTCAAACTCCTCTCTATGTTTTGAACGGGCCTGTGTTTTTGTCGATCTGAAGCTACCTCACACAACACATCTTCATTACACACATATTCGTCTTAAAACTAAGTTTCAAATCATTTCGTTATGGATTTTACTTTTTCAATAATATTTTGCTTCAAACAGAAAAACGGAAAATTTTGCTCTTCTTTTTTTCTACTTTAGGTTTTAACAGTGGCGCCTCAACCTCAATCTACCTGCGCACCAGCTCTCAATCGATTTGAATATAAATATTGCTAGATAATCATATTTTTTTTTTAAGTTGGTGCACAGGTAAAAATTGCTACTGGTTTTTGTTTTGGTTTGTTTTTTGTTTCGTTAACCGTCCGACGAAGAACTAGCAACAAAATTTTCATTGATTTTTTCAAATAAATTTAAACTAACCTGCTAGAGAAATCAAACCCGAAAGGCAAAAACTCACTGCGCTGCGTGTGGCTTTTTTAATGCAGCTAGTTTTCAAATTTCGTAAAATTTATAAAAACAAATATTTCCGTTTGGAATCTTCAACTATAGATGGCGCGCCAATAATCCCGACAGAAGGAGCCAAAATGGGAAAAAGTATATAGAACGTTTTCTTGCCCCCACAACCCCCCCACTTCCGGTAGCATTACTAACTCAAAGCGCTTGTTTTTAGCAACTGTTGTAAATACAATAATAACATGTGTGTAGATGTGTACGATTAGATGAACGAACGAGCAACTCGTCGAATCTCGTTCTCCTAGTGCCTATAGCGGCTAGATCAATAATCTCGTCCTGTTGTACATATGCAAACTAGCACAGCTGCCTCTGTTGATGCGAATCTCCGTCCATGTTTCACACGCTTCGAATCAGAGCTTATTTCCTTCCACAAAGCTTCCGATCCCTTAGGGATTGTGTGAGCAGCGCAAGAGAAGGGTTCCCAGCAACAGGAATTCCGCCTACTATTTAGCTATCATGTTGCTTAGCATAACTCGTTCGGTGATTTCCCATGGGAGTTCGAATGCTAAGCGGCATATGGTCACACTTTGATAGAACTTGGAGAATTCGATCTCACCGTTCCATGCGAAGCATGTTTCGATGTTTGTCGATGTTATTTTTATGTGGAATTCCGCCCCTTTAAAGTTCGAAATCATTAATGTCAATATTTCTGTTCTTCTTTGTCAACGAGAATTTGAGCCGGCATTCAATGGGAACCGTAACGTATTCCACGGATCTGACATCTTTCAACCTGTTCTACTGCAGGAGGTTTCGAAACGTGTCTCAATTTGACCTCTCCAGACTAAAACACTTCTTTTCACCATTTTTCACCGTTTGGTTGATTTACTACCATCCATTGTTTTGGTTTTGTGTTCCGTTTTCCTAATTCGTATGTGTTTGTGCAAAATCAAAACAATAGTTTTCTAACATTTGTTTATATTTTTCCACCCCATTTCCGCTCTTTCTCTCTCTCTCTCTCTAACTAAAATCACGAAACCACTCGTCGCCACTGACTACTGTACCTAATTCCCCGGAATCTCGCTATAAAACCTACCACACTGATTGCGCAAATGTATCTAAACAAATTTCGAAAACCACCTTCCCGTGTTTTCTCTGTTTTCTATATTCCGTCCCCGCCGCCGCCCGTCTGCCTTTGCTGTGCTCCAGAGCTCAAAACGTCGGCGGTCAGCGCGTCGCGGAATGTGACACCCGGCCAACCGCCGAAGCCCCAGCCGGAGAAGGGACCGGTCATGTTGCTGCACGAGCTGTTCACCGATGCACACTTCGAATGCGTCTCGACCGATGGACTGCAGCACTCCAAGTTCACCGTGGTCGTGACGGTCGATAACCAACGGTTCGAGGGTACCGGCCCGTCGAAGAAGATGGCAAAGAATGCTGCGGCCAAGGCGGCCCTCGCGTCCATGTGCAACATCTCGTTCAGCCCGCTGCAGCAGGCCAAGTTTGGTGTGATGAACTCGTCCGTCGGTATGGGCGGCATGGGCATCTCAGGACCCGGCGGGGTCGGCATCAACGGAGATGCCACCGGGGGGTGCTACGATCAGAAGAACGTGGAACTGCCGCAGACGTTTGCCGACGCGGTTGGAAAGTAGGTGTTGCGTGGGATTGTCGATTTGAGGTGAGCCGGCACTTGTAAATTGTCTTTTTGTTTTCCAGACTGGTCATCGAAAAGTTCAACGAAGTGATGAAGGGCAACGACGTCTACTCGCGACGGAAGGTGCTGGCCGGAATCGTCATGACCCAGGGGTACGATGCCAAGACTGCTAAGGTGAGTGAAGTAAGCGGGAACATATATTTTGAAATATCGCATCGAAAACGACGCACTTCACTCATGTCGAAAGGGGAATCGCGTTGGGGTAGATGGGGCAAGGTGGCCACCTTAAGGTTAACATAATTTTTATATGTAATAAAGGATGACTAACAAAAAATTGGTATGCCCCTCGCGCGCCGCTAGCACGCCTCTAGTGTTGAGAATCGAAAATCTTTGACAGTGGTTTGTTTTCACTTCTGGTGCAAGTTTGATCAAAGTAGACGATTGCGTTCAGAAATAACGTCAAATGGAACTCGATAGAAGACAAAATATTGTGCACAAACACCTGGAAAATCCGGAGTGGTCCGGTTCCAAGCTGGCTAAAGTGCTGAAGATGCCGAATACAACAGTTTGTCGAGTGCTCAAAACCGACAAGGAAACCCTGAATTCCCACGCACATTAGATCCGGATCGGATGCGTTGAGGGCAAAGTGACAGCTAAATGTATTGTCTAACTGTTAAATTTACGTCAACGCAACGTGAACGGATCTAATGTGGGTGGTCCTTGAGTGTGGAAAGGAATCAGCGGATCTACGAAAAAACTGGAACCAGGGATCGTCAGCTGCGCAGCAAGGTGTTGAGGTCCGTTAAAGCCAACCTCGGTATTTCGATCCGAGATGTGGCCAGAAGGTACAATGCCAACTTTCAAACGTTGTGGAACATCCTTGCCACGGAAGGCTACAAGTCGTACAAAGCCAGTGTTGCGGCGAGCGAAAGCGAAAAGGGCGTTTTAGTCACCGGGTTCTCAGCAGCACAAACAACCTTTTATGGTGTAGTGCAGCTTTAAACTGCAATTGCATTTTATTAGGTTTTAGATATAGGTTAGGTTTTCAAACTTAAATGAAGTACTCATACTTTGCTTCTACGAGTAAAATGCTCTGCTCGCGAATTCTTATTTTTCACCGCCTTTTATGCACTGTAAATACATTTTTGGGATTAGATAGGAACAAATTCACTAGCAACAAATTCAATAGGATAAGAAAATATAGTGAATAGGTATACACGCTAACTTGAAAGTACTCATTAATGAGTAAAAAAAGACCCATTTTGAAGAAAAGTGGCTTAACTCATTAATGATTAAACAATTTTACCCATTAATGAGTATCTGTTACCCATTAATGATTAACAATTACTCATTAATGGGTAACAGATACTCATTAATGGGTAAAAAATTTACTCATTTAATGAGTTAAGCCACTTTTCTTCAAAATGGGTCTTTTTCAACCATTAATGGGTACTTTCAAGTTAGCGTGTAATTCAACTTTCACAATTCCTTCTGTTTCTCGTTGTCCTCGCCTTCTCTCCGTATGTTGATGTTGACTACAGTCCGAGATTGTTTTCTCCTCTCTCTTGCTCGTTGTCACTCGTCACTGATACCGCGGAATGCCAATCTGAGGCAGTGCACCCGGCGGCAACATCCTCCCCCCCGTAACACTGGCCACCAGTCCCAGTTTTCCACCAACATCCAGGATAGCTAGCTTAGCCACCGGCCTACGCAATAGCCCCCGCGCAGTTCTTACGACGGCTTGACGTATCCAACCATCACCCCCGGGTACGACCTCCATCACGCGTCCCCTGATCCAAGTGTTCCGTTTGCTGTCCTCCACGATCAGCACTAGGTCACCGGCAGCAACAGGCCTCTTTTCGCCGAACCACTTCGTCCTTTTAGTCAACGTCGGCAGCATCTCTCGAGTCCAGCGTCTCCAGAAGCAGTCCAGTTGGTGGTGGATCATGTTCCAGGAACTCTTCACAGCTCCCGAGCTATCCGTTGGCTCTACTTCCGGTTGTCGCACTCCGCTTGAGCTTCCCAGCAGGAAGTGGTTTGGGGTCAGTGCCTCGCTTTCTTCCGCGTCCAGAGGCAAATAGGTGATTGGACGGCTGTTGACGATAGACTCCGCTTCGATGACCAAGGTGTTGAGGGATTCGTCGTCTAGCTTGCGATCGTTGTTGTATGCGCCCAGCATCGCTTGCTTTACGGAACGCACCATCCGTTCCCAAGCTCCACCCATGTGGGGGAGACGAAGGAGGAATTAATAACCATTTGGTCGTCGTACCGGTCACCGTTGCAGCAAGCCCCTGTTGCAGCTGCTTCATCAACACCCGCCCTGTGCCATGGAAGTTAGTGCCGTTATCGGTGTAAATCTCGGCCTGGGCACCCCGGCGGCTCACGAAACGACGGATGCTTTTTATGCAGGCATCGGTAGATAAGTTGTAGACCACTTCACAATGCACTGCTCGGATTGTAAGGCAGGTGAAGATCGCTACCCATCGTTTGGCGTTGCTTCGTCCAACTTTCACCAACAATGGTCCAAAGAAGTCCAGTCCGACGTATGTGAAGGGTCTAGCGAAAGAAGCTAGACGAGCTGGAGGAAGTGAGGCCATACGAGGAATGCTAGACGTATCTTACATGCCATGCATCCATTCACAATTTTTTCGAACCAGTATCCTGAGTCGAGGCACATAATACCGCTGCCGTATTTCGTTTACCACAGTCTTCGAATAGGCGTGTTGGAACTTCCGATGATAGGCGTTCACGACGAGAACTGTCATCCGATGCTGCATGGGCAGGATAGCTGGGAACTTCGCCTCAGTGTTTGGCAGCTCCTATCCGTCCGTCCACGCGTAGACGGCCGGTTTCGTCGACAAATGGCGTTAGTTGGTACAGTGCGCTGCGTTCGCGTCCGTGCGTTAGCACCACCAGTTAAGCTCTGTAGTGTGCCTGTTGCCCATACTAACCAATGTCACTTCTGCCCGCCGTAGTTCTTCTTGAGTAAGGTATCCGCTTTGCCTCGTTTCGCCGTAAACCGTCCGTTTCAGGTTGCCCACATATCTGTGTACGTAGGCCGTAGCTCGCAATAAACGCTCCCACTTAGAGAAGCGTTCGCAGTCGATTACTGACGACGGCGTAGCTTCTTCTACATTGATGATGCAGACGCGTAACTCCTCCTCGACGGTCTGTTGAGGCATGTTCTGCTTCGGCCACTTTTCTTCAGATCTGTGCAGGAATGGTGGTCCCTTGAAGCAGGCACCTTCCACGTCCAGAGATGGACCGCTTCCCCACTTAGATGCATAATCCGCGGGGTTCTGCTTTGACAGTACCCACCGCCATTCGTTCGTGTCGGTATGTTCCAGGATTTCACCAATTCGACAGGCCACGTACTGTTTGTACTTGCGGGGATCCGCTCTTAGCCACGCCATGACCGTTGTATCGACAGGGATCGACAGGTGCTTCAGTGGCGCTACCTTCGTTTTCGCTGTTACCAAAGAACGCAGCTTCGCTCGCCTCCACGAACATGGTAGGTCTGAGGCGTAGCGTTCGGAAAATAGCAGTGAGGAATTCGCACGCTTGAAATCTGCTGCAGTAGGATAGGTTAGCTTCGCCAACGTTCCCAGTGCTCCTCGTTGATTTCTTGGTCCCACTGGATTCAGGCGCGCCATATGTCCTGCAGCAGGATTTTTTCTTGAACCAGGAGGAAGCTCAATAATCCAAATGGATCAAAGACACTCGTGAGACACCGCAGAACTTGCCTTTTCGTGGGCCGTGATTCGCGGACGTCGTCCTTGAGGTGCACGCAGTAGCTCAGCGCGTTAGGCAGACCATGCCTAATACTCGCCCATATTCTGTACTCTTCTCCAGAAAGAGGTGCCGGTTGCCGGTCTCCATTGTTTCTCCTAGCTGTTGCTTCACGAATGCGCTGTTGGATTGCCAGTTGCACAGCAGGAAACCACCTTTGCTGTGGATTGCACTCACCTGTTCGGCTATCTCCGTTGCTTCCTCTTCCGTGCCAAAGCTATCCAGGTAGTCATCCACGTAGTGGTTGGAAATGATACCTTCGATGAACTCTGCAGCATTTTTGTTCTTGACGAACTGCGCCGATGCTGGCGAACATGTTGCCCCAAATGTAGCAACGTCCATCATAAATATGGTTGGTGGACTCGAAGGATCAGTCCGAAACAGAAATCGCAGGGAATGACGATCTAGTCCACGAATCTTTAACTGGTGAAACATCTCCTTAATATCAGCGGAGACGGCCACCGAATATTGTCGGAAACGTGATAAGACGGTAGAGACGTCAGTTGATCCGGCCCTTTTAGTAGTAACGAGTTGAGCGAGATTCCGTTGACCGTGGCTGCAGCTTCCCAGATGAGACGCACCTTCTCCTGGTTTCTTCGGGTTCACCACCGCTCCTAGTGGCAGGTACCAGACCCGCCATATATCCGCTGCTCGTAATTCCTCCTCGCTGGCACGATGCGCATATCCTTTCTGTTGATACTCTTCAATTTGACGGTGCAGGTTCTCCTTCAACGTAGGGTTCTTCTCCATTCGACGCTCCAAGCACTCCAGCCTTCGCAAGGCCATTCCGTAGCTATCAGGAAATTCAATATCGTCATATCTCCACAGCAATCCGGTCTCGTACCTATCACCAACGCGTACGGTGGTTTGCTCCTGGATTTACTGAGCTCGTCGGTCGTCCGCCGACATCGATTCCGTCCCTGGTTTTGCTCTAACCTCTTTCAGTGTGATATAATCTTTCACCAGTTCGTGTACATTCCGGTCGCGTTCACTACTTCCTCCGTACACGCACCAGCCAAGCCGATGTGTAAACTTGTTAACGATTTCGTTAACCCGCAGGGTCTGCTCCGGCAGAGCAACCTTTTTCACGGTGCGAACATCTTCCAATTTTAGCCGCTTTCCATCAACAACACTTGATACCACCAAATCCAGCTTTCTAGAGTCCGCTTCCATCCTGGAGACATTACCCGTCCACGTCAGGTACAGGGGCGTAGTTTTTCCACCTACACCGAGATTGTTGGCCAGCTCGTCTTCAATGAGGGTGAGGGACGACCCATCGTCCAGAAAGGCGTACGTTTTAACCGTCCCTCTAGGCCCGTACAGTGTAACCGGAATAATGCGAAAAAGCAGTGATTGGTCCGAAAGTTGACTATCTGTAAGACGCTGATTAGACCGGAGGTCCTCTACGGCCACGAGACCTTTACTATGCTCGTGGAGGACCACATGGCGTACCATCTACGGTGGAGTGCAGATAGATGACGGAACGTGGATGAGGCGAATGAACCACGAATTGCACCAGCTGCTGGGAGAACCATCCATCGTCCAAGTAGAAGACGACTTCTTCGGACAGCAGGGGACAAGGGCTTAGCCTGATTGGTATGGTATATATGAGGGGTGCGTAGCAACTACATATGAAGATTCCGTTGATTTTGGCGATCACGAAACTTTCGTATGAGCTCGCAACCACTTCTTGAATTGGGTATCTGCCCATAACTTGTATTGCAGCCATCGCAGCTCTATCCGCCAACCAGTTACCGTTATCGGGAGGGACTCGATATGGTTCTGCAATGATTGCAACGTCGCACTTTGTTTCTGTTGTCGACTGGCACAACAGTTGCTGTGAAGTGTCACAATGATTGAGGTTTATTTGGGCTACCTCCATTATTGTTGGCCTGCCATCACCTTGATTGTTTCCGTCCTCCTTTTTGGTAGAGCATGCACTTCGGTTGAAGCACGAAGCGTGCAGCCTCTTGCAATGTGACCCTTCTCTCCGCATTTCCTGCACAGATCTGATCTGTCAACTCCATTGCATTTCCTCGCCTGGTGACCATAAGCCGTGCACTTGAAGCATCGCTCCAGCTGCTTGGTTACCCGAGGAGTGGCTTTCAGCGTGTACACTGAACACTCAACCTTAACCTTGCCCGTATCCAACAGCTTGTTCGCTGCAATTGTCGAAAGCCGTACCACCGCCGTTTGCATGCCGCCGTATGCTTTACTCACCCGGATTGACATCGGGACATCTCCCAGATCACAGTGCACCTTCAACGCACTTATCAGCTCCTCCTGTGTAGTGATCTCGTCCAGATCCCTGCACTGTCTCCTGGGATAGAGCTCTTACGCTCGCCCCTTCGCCTAGAGACTTCGACGAGCTCAAAGAGGATCTTACCTTTCTGGGTGCACCTGGTTTTCACCACGTTCTCTCCTAGTTCCTTCAACTGCGGATCTTCTCGAACCTTCCGCAGAAGTGCTGCGTACTTCGTTTTGTCCTTTGCTTAGACGATTAGAGCCTGGGTTTTCCTTTCTTCTTCATTTCTTTTTCCCTCCGTTTGTTCCACTTCTCCTTCGGCTTCTCGACAGTACGCCATCCGCAACAACCTTGTCATTCTTGAGTTTTTTCAACTCCTCTTCCTCTCCTGGCGTTTCCCTTTTTTCTTTTCTCCGAGCGTTGCTTTCTCCTAGGCCTCGATCAGTGCCCTTTCGGCAGTCTCGGCTCTAGAAATAATGGCGGATTTGATGCCCGTCACCATTTCCATTCTAGACGTTGCTCTTATCCTTGACAAAGTCATGGAGTTCATTGATCCTCTTCCTGACCTCCATCATTTTGGTCTTCCCAAGCTGCAGTTCTTCTTGGGGTGTGCTACTTACTCACACATGAAATCTACCTCGACCAACATGGAAGAACGCGCCCTAACCCTCATTGAACCAAAGGGCCGGGTTCTGTGACATCCCCCCCCCCCAGTTTTCTCCTAAATTTACCGTGGAATCATGCTTTGAACTCCCGTCGAATTTCTCCTTAGGATTCCCTTGAAGTGCTCTCAGACTTCCATTGAAAATTTCCTCGGAATTCTCTTGAAACGATCCACAGCATTTGTTATCCATTGTACTGAAATAATCTTTTAGATTTCTTCAAGATTTGCTTGGAATTCTTCTCAGGACCACCTTGGAGTTCTCCTTAGAATTCAATTGAAGCTCTCCTCAGAACTATATAGGAATTGTTCCCAGAACTCCCTTGGAAATTTCTTGAGCATTTACCTTGAATCAAGAAGTCATCAGAATTCCCTTTGAACCATTCCTTAGATGTCGCTTGACGTTCTCCTTACAACTACCTTAGAATTCTCGCCAGAACTAAAATGATTTTTTTTTAAATCTTAGAATTTAATGGATACACCTATGACTATGATTATCAATTTAAAAAAAGAATTAAAGTTGAAATGTCCAAGTTGAACTGTAGCGGCAAAGACATGTGAAGTCATTTTTTTCGATCTCGTTGAAGACTTTTGCTCAAACCACCCGGCATCCCTGATAACAAACATCCCATTTACCTTTTAGGTTATCTCGCTGGCCACCGGAACGAAATGCGTCAGCGGCGAGCACATGAGCGTCACCGGATCGGTCATCAACGATTCGCACGCGGAAATCATTGCCCGCCGAGGTCTGTTGGACTTCTTCTACACTCAACTGGATCTGCACTGTCGGCGACAGACCGCCAACAAGATCAGCGCCCCGGCCCTATGCAACGGAAACGGTACCGAAGAGCCGGAACAGCAGCCGGAAAGTAGCATCTTCGGCGCTCCGACCGATGGCTCCGGTCTGTACAAACTGAAGGACGGCATACACTTCCATCTGTACATCAACACGGCACCCTGCGGAGACGCCCGAGTGTTCAGTCCGCACGAGAACGACAACATGGACGTGGACAAGCACCCGAATCGGTAGGATAACTCGTATTTCTTAACCGGCTGTACCCCTCAAGCATCATCACTAAAATTGCGATTCACCTTTCATTCCTATCATCCCTGTCTACCCACTCCTTGCCACTCCCCTCGCCGACGAAAAACAGGAAAGCTCGCGGCCAGCTGCGCACCAAGGTGGAATCGGGCGAAGGGACGATACCGGTCAAGAGCAGCGAGGGCATTCAGACGTGGGATGGTGTCCTGCAGGGGCAGCGTCTGCTGACGATGTCCTGCTCGGACAAAATATCACGTTGGAACGTACTCGGCTTGCAGGGATCGCTGCTCGCGTCCGTGATCGAGCCGATCTATCTGCACTCGATCGTGCTGGGCAGCTTGCTGCATCCGGCGCACATGTACCGGTAAGAAGAAGAAGAAGACGGAAAAGGAGAAATCAGAAGTTGGACCAAACTTGTCACAATCGCGTGGGAGATGTGTGACAAGTTTGGTCGGATTTTCCCGGTGTCGTTTTTTGCGGGAAAAGATATTGGATATTGGTCGCACACACAGTTGTGTGAGCAAAATCAGCATTTTGAAACAAAAACGGCACCAACACTGTGTGTGTGTGTGTGTGAGTGAGTGTACCAACCATCTCTTCTGAGTTGATATTTGATATTTGACTTTCTCATGCATGATTTTTTGAGTATTAGGTGGTGCAAATTTTGTGGCACAGTTGTCCTTGTTCCAACCACATTCATCCTTCTCTTTTCAGTGCCATCTGCGGTCGCATCGAGAGCTCGATCCAGGGCCTGCCGCCGCCGTATCGATTGAACAAGCCCAAGCTGGCACTGATGACGTCGGCGGAATCACGCAACCAAACCAAGCCCCCGAACTTCAGCATCAACTGGCTGCTCGGGTGCCCGGAGGTTGAGATCGTCAATTCCTTCACCGGCAAGCTGATCAACAACAACACCAACACCAACAAGATGTCCCGACTGTCGAAGCAGTCGTTCTACCGACGGTACGCGGCCGTCATTGAGAGGCTTCCGCACGCGCGCTTCCACGAGGTCAAACCGAGCTACGGCGAGTCGAAGACCTGCGTCCCGGAGTACCAGCAGGCGAAGAAGGAACTGTTTAACGCCTTCAGCAAGGAGGATCTGGGCGACTGGTTGAAGAAACCGATCGAGCAGGATCAGTTCACATTGATGACGCCGAAACCGGAGGAGCTGGCGGCAGTGGTGACGGTGACCCCGGCGAACAATGGCGGCAGCAGCAGCAGCAGCGGCGGTGTCGGTTCCGGTGCCAACGCTAGCAACGGTTCAGGACCGACGTCCGGCGGTAAATGACAGCAGGGGAAGCACTCCGGTAAGCATCAGAACGGTGGCGGTTCGTCGTCATCGTCCAGTGCGAGGTTGTTTTGAAAACAGCCGGAGCGGGCGAGAGAACAAAGGTAAAGTCGAATTATTGCTCTTTAAGAGATACGGGGGAAGCAGCTGCCGATGGAGGAAGTAGTAATTTTAAGCAGATATTTCGTCATTTGGTACCTAATCGAATAGTAGTGGGACGGACGCAAAGGGCAACATGCAGGAGGCGTAACAACACAGTAGAGTGTTTCGTCGTTACTGGATTGTGTTTGTACCGTTTACTAGAGGTTAGCTTTTAGGTTTAGGAAACACTCAATAGTAGCAGGCACCATTGATTTTACGTTTTATCATTGATTTTATACGATTTTTTTTTTAAACGTTGCATGTTCATGTGCACGTTCAGATCATTTTAATTTATTTTCTACGAGACAGATTTGACGAATTTAAGTTTTCTGTTGGTTGTGTGAAAAACTCTACTATAATCGGATAGCAAAAATGCATCATCATTCTGTGAACGCTAGAATAGTAACTGACTCTAATTAAATACTAAATTTATAGGTAGCGTGTAAGTTTTATCTTTCAAGATCAGCATAAAAAACAAATAAACCGTTTGAACGCTTTGAGCGTTTGTATGCGCGGATGAAGGAAGAGTTAGATGAAAAGAATAAGTAACTCTTCTTGAGAGCTCAGATGTTAAAGTATCATATTGAACCGAATTGTGATTGCGCGAAAAGCTCGGTTTGCAAATTACTCTAGGTGATAAGGTTCCGTCAAATAGGGGTTGATGTTACTGGAAACGGAAAATCAAACTTAAAAGAATTTGGATCAGTTGGCGGTTGTTTGGGTTGCTGGCGGGGTTTAGAAGATTTGAACGCTTTGATGAGAATCTGAAACTCTGATTCGAGTAGGTAAATCCCACTTGATTTCAAAGGAAATTTTGCAAAGCATTTGAGGCAGATTCAGAAGACATCCGAGGACATTTGTATTGATTAGTAGAAGAAGTTAAGTTGATAAATGAAGAAAGTACTAAACCACGCAAATTCCTGAAGACGGTTCAGTCGAAAATGTAGATAGTTTCCAAAAGAACTCCATTTGAATAAGTGACGAAGACTAAAAAGTACGGCCATTCGGCCGCCTATTAGCTGAGATCGGTTACCTTTTCATTAGCTCTTTGTGCCATGTTGCTCCTTACTAGCTCTTATACCATGGGAACTTTAACTTGGAGGAGGAATGGAGCGAAGTGAAAAAGACCAATCCGTTAGAGCGACAACTAATTTTATTCAAACATTCATGGCTGACAAAGATCTATATTTAATTCTAGGCTGTAGTAGAGAGGGACTAGAATAAGAGAGGAACGGACTGGCTAGTTTTGAGCCAAACGAACTGTCAAAGGCAGAGTCAATCGAGCAGCGGCTACACTGTACCAAAACAGCATCCTTTGTTCTAATGAAACCTCAGGCCATTAAAATCGCTTCTTCAAATGATAGCTGCAACCGGATGACGTTTGTCATGTAATCAGATGATGGTCCTCTCCAATACAGGATGAACATTGAAACGAGAAGTGAACGGACCTCAGCTGTAGAATGATTGTTATCCCAAATTGAAATGCATATGGTATTGGTTCAGTCCCATAACGTAAATCATCCTAAACGATGATGTAAATAATTCAATCGAACGTCATTTGCTGATCTGAGCAGACAAGTATAGCCATCGCTATCAGAGGTAGTACGAACATTGGAAAAGCGTGGACACCGAATATTGTCTATTTCGTGGTGCAGGAAGTTTCCTCTACCAATAAGTGATTTGTGGCTGTTCATGGCTATTCAATATGGAAATTTTAACAATCGAATTATAAATCTAGAAATCTAGTATAAAGCATTTGCAAGTCATCCTATCCTTAAATTGTTGCCCTTTGGCGCTGTATGTTTTACAGTCAATTTTCAAATAAATCAAGACCAACAATTGAAATGGCCTTAACTCCATTTTGTAAACAAACCTTGTGAGGCCATTTTCTCGCGAACCGAAGTCCGCAAAGGCAAACCAACATAATGAACAGGTAGGGGAAATTCTCCTCTACCCGATTGTGGTTTAGGTTTGCGAACGAAGGTTTCGGTTCGCGAGAAAATGACCTTAGAAGGTTTGTTTACAAAGTGAAGTTGAGGCGATTTTAAAAAAAAACCTTTATTTGGAGGGCAGTCATATGGATGCTTATCAGTTGATGTCAAATTCAACCATAAGGCAATCATCCGAAATTTGACGGCATACTGTTAAAGGGCTTGAGCAATGCAATATGTGAATGACGCAATGATTGAATTGGCAGTGTTGCTAGAAATCATCTAGTCATAGGTTGCCATTTCAGTTTGTTTTGAATCCGCTCCTCTCATAGGCTGTAGCTCTTCGCGTTACTAAAAGCATCGCTTCACTTTCTTCCAGGGAGACTTCGAGCCAAATACCTACACCATAGATGATTGGATTGGTATAGAAATAAGGAAAACGGGGCGAAATTTGAAATTAGTGTTACTGTTAGGGGCAGTATCAGCGTAGCTTCATTAGCGGAACTTCTTCAGCAACGCACAGGGTAAACCTTCCATAGGTTCCCGATCTCAACCTTATGTATCATCGTCTCCGTTCTTCTTTGGCGGTGAACTGTCGAGGCAAAACTGGCTCGTTTGGAAGAGCCTCCACAGTAAATAAGGACTGCTGGTATCTACCGGATTTTTGATATTCTACCAGGAAAGTTGAAGGTTGGTTCGTTGGTTGTCTTATTAAGGAGATTTTCAGCCACAAGCGAAAGATTTTTTTAAGCTTAGGTTCATCACATTCAAGCTGATTAAAGCTGAATAAGCCTCATTTTAACTGAATAAGATAATTTAGGGAAGCATAAACTGCTATTCAGCTAAATCTGGCGATGGTATTTGAATCTTTTTTAGACCCAAACGTACTATTCAATCGACTGAATCTCTGGAACCATAAGCTCGATGATCTTGAAATTTACTAACTTTTCCTAACGGTAAACCTTCAGCATTTGTTTTTCTTTATTAAAAAGATTTTCAGCCTTAGGCTGGTTCATCTCTAGAGGCTCCAGAAGGAAGACTCTCAAAGTACTATACTTGTTGGCTCGTTCGTAAGGGCGTCGCGGATACTCCCGGGTATATTGTAGCAGTTTCTAGCTCGTTCGTATTTTGGGCAGAGGCTATGAAGTGTTCCACGGTTTGTGGCGTGAGCCAGGGGTCACATACCCTTCGAAAAGGCCCATCTCTCTTGTAGTTATAGGAGATATTTGTATGGCCGGACGGGATGCCACGACCTGCTCCCGGTGTAGTGGTGGGTCATCCCACCTGGTAGTATTTCCTGTGATCATTCGGAGGTGATCTAGCTGCCATCCAGTCGTAGGCCCAGGCTTCCTTTTTCAAATCAGGACCTGGGATCTTTCGGGTTTAATCTGGCCATGCGCCGACCAGAGGCAGCGAGGTGGTCTGCTTCTATGTTCCCTTGGACACCGCCTTTCGGTACATATTTTTGGATCGCCTGGATTCAAGTTTCAGGATTTTAGGTGTATGGTAAGAGCCTTCTGAAAAAAAAATCGTACCTACGGCTTCTGGGCATCCTTTTTAGCTGTTCGCTGAAACTGTTTTCCAACAGAAATTCAACATGCAACATGCATTTTTTGCAATGTCTTGGCAACTGTCAATATGTCAGATCTAGACGACTCCCAAGGAAAACTAAAAAAGCTGCTTGTTGAGAAAATTGAAGTTTTCCAAGTACTCTTTCAGGCCTATTCTGCGCGGCGTGTGGGGTAAGGTGACTCGCTGTCACTAGGGAAGTGACAATTGTCACCTCGGGTGAGGTGATTCTCCATTTGATTTGTATGTCCAGCGAACTCCATACTGCGATTCAAATGTTTACCAATTTTCCTTGGAATGTCGTCTGTCCTAAAGGGATTCAGTGGAATTCTGATCAAAAACTGAGAAGCTCCAAACGAAAGACTTTAACCAACACTGATAATATTACCTAGGATAATCTAGAAAGCTCTGAGAATAAATCTAGCATTGTTATCGGAGCTACTGAATTAATTCAAGATCAATTATCGAAAAGGTCTCATCAGCTTTTGTAAAATAAAAAAAAAAATCTTGTGCGCTTTTCTCGTGAATCGAAGCTCGTCGACGCATACCAACAACACTATCAAATAGGGGAAGCTTTCCCCTACCTGATAGTGATAGTGTGCAGAGGTTGCCTAAGTCAACAACTCCCAGTTGGCAGATAATTAAGATTCTGGGTGGAGTTCAGGCGAGTCCTGAATGAAATTACAGGACCAGAAGATTTCAGTGGAAAAACTTGAGGAGTACTCATTAGATTCAGAATGTAAGCCCGAAGATAAATGTAGACAACTCCAGCATGATCTGTAGAGGTATAATTCCCAGGTAAAATCTAGGCGATTACAGACAGAACTTTCAAGGGAAGCGTGCAAAGATTAGAGGAACTCAAAATGTCTGCAAGAAATAGCCTCAAAGGATTAAATAGGCTTTGGTCAAGATATTTCGGATTCTCGACTCAAAGTCAATGGAACTATTCGTTGCAAGTCCAGAGCTGATAAGGCATTTTCAATTGTCGATCTAGAATTGTAGTACTTTAGGAAGTTCTGGGTGACAGTGTTGATTCCAGTGACAATGCAGAGGTCGCCTAAGTGAACAACTCCCAGTTTGCGGATGTTTAAGATTCTTGGTGGAGTTCAGGCGAGTCCTGAATGAAATGTTCAGAACCAGAAGATTTCAGTGTGAAAACTTGAGGAGTACTCATAAGATTCAGAATGTAAGCCCGAAGATAAATGTAGACAACTCCAGCATGATCTGTAGAGGTGAAATTCCCAGTTAAAATCTAGGCGATTATAGGCAGAACTTTTAAGGGGAGCGTGCAAAAATTAGAGGAACTCAAAATGTCTGCAAGAAATAGCCTCAAAGGATTAAATAAGCTTTGGTCAAGATATTTCGGATTCTTGACTCAAAGTCAATGGAACTATTCGTTGCAAGTTCAGAGCTGATAAGGCCTTTTCAATTGTCGATCTAGAATTGTACACGGCGAATGAGAACGACTCAAATTTGAGTTTAGTTCACTCATATTCGCCAAAAGTGTAGGAACTCAGCGATGAGTAAAATTTGTCTCATGGTTTCCTGTGGAAAACCTAAAAAATCTGCCGGAAAATGAGGAAATTGACGAAAATTTTATTCAGTCTCGGAGTAGTACCAATAGACTGAGTGAATCCAATCTTTACTTTTCTCAAATTCAGGAATTTTTCCCTGGAAAATCCTGGAAAAGCCTGGGAAAACATGAGGCAAATTACCTCATCGCTGAGTTCCTGCACTTTTGGCGATTATGAGTGAACTAAACTCAAATTTGAGTCGTTCTCATTCGCCGTGTAGTACTTTAGGAAGTTCTGGGTGACAGTTGATTCCAGTGACAATGCAGAGGTCGCCTAAGTGAACAACTCCTAGTTTACAGATGTTTAAGATTCTTTGTGGGGTTCAGCCGTACAGAACCAGAAGATTTCAGTGGGAAAACTTGAGGAGTATTCATTAGATTCAGAATGTAAATCCAAAGATAAATGTAGACAACTCCAGGACGATCTGTAGAGGTAAAATTCCCAGGTAAAATCTAGGCGATTGCAGGCAGAACTTTCAAGGGAAGCGTGCAAAGATTAGAGAAACTCAAAATGACTGAAAGAAATAGCCTAAAAGGATTAAATAGGCTTTGGTCAAGATATTTCTGATTCCCGACTCAAAGTCAATGGAACTATTCGGTGCAAGACCAGTGAATGCCATTGGGAGAATTTAAAACTTGATTGAGGATAATTTCCGACGTAGTGCAGTAGGTAAAGGCAATAAAGTCTCTGATTTGTTTGAATCTATTCATTTATTTATCAAGACTCAAATGTGCAAGCTTTACGGAGCCGAAATTCGTTTGACTGTTTACAATGTTTCTTAATTCTAGAGTTAGCACAAGAGAGGGCTGAATACTCGTGGCTTACTAGAGGTTATTCAGGGAATTCTCGAGAGCAGGTCAAAAACTTCGAAGGAAGGCCTATATAAGCAACCACCTTTTATTGAATTCTCATGTGATTTGATGAGCGCTGGCTGAAGCCAGATTCTAACTACTTTCCCTGGGGCACTCGTACCAAGTCCAGATGTGACCATTGTGGTCCTACACGGATAGAAATCTCCTTATACCTTTTGGCAAATTTCCATTGCTGATTATTCATAAATTGTATAAGTCAACTAATAAGCAGACGCCTTGCAAAAAGTTAATAAAGATCATGTGTCAAATGAAATGTATAAGCGGTCACGCATACCTTTTATGCATTCTAATAGGACATATGTGGTTTGTCTTATGGAATGTATAAGGCTGATGCTTTGGCAAAATTGTATAAGTGAAACACATGAATTAAATAATTGATTTTCGTTTCGTGTAGTCAATCACTTTGGCTCCTGTTGATCTTATAGTAAAATTATCATGAGTCGCATGGTGGGTTTATCTGCAGAAGTGGGAACAATCGGACTGGACTCGAAATACTATTCGAACTACAATTGAAAGGAACGTCTTTATTTGTCAGTAGTATAATTTGAACTGAAGAAAATGAAGTTATGCTCTAAAAGCAAGGCATACTGCGTTGTATATACTCAACACTCCTCCTCAACGCTGCTACAGTAGACCACACTGCTTCCTTAGAAATTCCAACCGTATTCGTGGTAGAGGTTTGGTTAAAAGATCTGCGGCCATCTTTTCCGTAGGGCAGTACTCATACTTGATAACACCTTTCGTCTTCAGGTCCTTGGAGAAGTGAAATTTTGTTGAAATGTGTTTGGTACGGTTACTGAACTTTTCCGAGTCCAGCATCTTCAAACAGCTTTGGTTGTCTTCGAATAATATTGCTTCTGTTTTCTCCCCTAGGTACTTCAATAGTCCCTGCAGCCAAACCGCTTCTTGGGATGCTTCGGAAAGAGCCACGAATTCCGCCTCTGCTGTAGATAGTGAAACGCAGGATTGCTTTCGGCATGCCCATGCAATGGTTCCTCCGCAGTATTTGAATACATATCCACTATTGGACTTCCTGTCGTCGCGACATTCTGCCCAATCGGCATCAGCGTAACCCACCAGACAAGATGAATCACCACTGCTACTCAGTCGAAGCTTCAGATCAATCGTCCCCTTCAAGTAGCGAACCATTCGCTTCAACTCATTCCAGTCACGTTGGGTTGGGTAACTCACCTTACGACTCAAGATTGAGATTGCCGTTGCGATGTCAGGTCTGCTGTTAACTGCGATGTACAACAGCTGCCCTTTTGATATTCTTGATTATTTGGGAGCTGGCCATCGTTATCTTCCGCTGGTTGATAAGAAAATCTCCAGCATGGTCTCGATCGACTTCGATCCCGAGGTAAAACTTGACATCACCGAGGCAGCTGATCTGGAAATTTCTTGCACGCGTTCGCTTTAATGCGTCGATCATGCGTTCATCCTCGCTCGCTACGATGAGATCATCCACATACACGAGAACATAGCACCACTTGCTACCAGCTCGCTTTCTGTACAGGCAGGGATCTGCGTCACATCGCTCAAAACCATCCGCTTCCATCACCTCATGCAGTCGCTGGATCATCTTCTTCTTGGCTGCCACAGACATCATGGTGCGGAACGTAACGTGTCGAACGACTGGCGCAAAAACTTCATCGTAGTCCGTCCCAAAACGTTGAGTGTAGCCCTGGGCTACCAGCCTGGCTTTGTACCGAACTACATTGCCCTTTTTCGTCTCGCTTCTGTTTATACACCCACTTGCTACCCGCCGGCAGGTCGACTATATCCCAGACGTCGTTTTCTTCGATGGATGCTAGCTCTTCCTTCATAGCCGTGCACCACTTGGCGCTGTTTGGACTGGATAACGCTTGCTTCAACGATTTTGGCTCTTCCTGAACCGAAGTTTCTGCTGTACAAGCATACCGCTCTGGAATAGCTCAGAGATTAGCTCTTGTTGATCTTCGAGGTGGATCGACATCTACACTGGACATGCTCCCGTCCACACGTACGGCATCAGACTGCACTTCGATTTCACGGAGAGTTGCTTCGTCCGGTTGTTGATCTGGATCATCCCAGACATCGTCGTCATCCGATTCAGTTGATCCTGGCTCACTCATTAGGTCCACTCGTTCGAAACAGATGGATGGTACAACCAGACTTTCTCCCACCGAACCTGGCATGGGCCCGCAAGAAGTAAGAAATTTAACATCACGGCTAACAGTTACCTTTCCATTCACTGTATCCGACGAACCTGAGCTTGACAGCCTTCCGATCCAGCTTACCTCGCTTTTCATTTGGTACATGGCAGTATGCATCCACACCAAACCGCTGAATGTGTCCGAGATTGGGCTTCTTCCCGAACCACCGCTCATATGGTGTGCCACTGATCGACCGTGATGGCAGCCTGTTCTGCATGTAGTTTGCAGTTACCACTGCTTCTTCCCAGAAACGCTTGTCCAGATGTCCGTCAATGAGCATGCACCTGGCCATTTCGACAAGGTAACGATTCTTTCGTTCTGCCACCCCATTTTGCTGTGAGGTGTATGGTGCCGTGAGCTGGCCGATGATACCGTTTTGCTTCAGGAATGCATTGAATGCCTTGCCAGTAAACTCACCACCCCTGTCCGAGCAGAGAATTTTGAGCTTCCTTCCAAACTGCGTCTTGACTAGCTCAACATATTCCTTCAGTTTCTGGAGCGCTTCAGACTTCTTCCGTAGCAAATAAACGACCGTGTACTTACTGTAGTCGTCGATGAATGTGATGAAATATCGTCTTCCGCCCAGAGTCGCCGTCATCAGTGTGAACCAAATCCATCACCGCCGATGACACACTTTCTGACGTCTTCGGAAACGATGTCCTGTGCATCTTACCTTCAATGCACACTTCACATGCATCAGTGCAGCTGCATCTCTTCACCCTCACGTCGTTGACCAAGGTCTGCAATTTCAACACCGCTTCGCAGTCTCTGTGTCCCAATCGTTTGTGCCACGCATGCACGTAGTCATCGTTCGTCATCACCATGGATACGTTTTCGGTTGATTGACGAATTATGAACAAGTTACCAACGGACTCCGCCATAGCACATATCTTTTCACCTTTCATGATTCTCGCTCCAGTTGCGTCGAATGTGACGACGAATCCTTTCTGCACCAGCCGCTTCACGGATAGCAAACTTGACTTCATTTCAGGAACATACAAAGCGCTTTCTATTGGAACTTCACGTAGTCGACCAGAACCATCTAGCACATTTATTCGCCCAGCACCTCGGCCTTTCGAACGTACCTTCGTCCCGTTGGCGACCCAAACGTCCTCAGTAGCTGCATCATCCAAATCCTCGAAGAAGTTTCGGTAATTTGCAATGTGGCAGGTTGCACCGGAATCCAAAATCCATTGGTCTTCCGCTTGACTATTGCATCCAGTGAGAAACGCGTGGCTATCATCATCATCTTGCTGCGATACATGGTTGGCTTTCTGTTGCTTGGATACTGCCTTTCGGTGCTTGGATACAGCTCCGTTTCCTTTCTGCGCCTTCCATACTCTGAACTTTTCGCAATTTGCCTTCTGGTGACCTAACTTTTTGCAGAAGAAGCACTGGTCTTCAGGATTATCGCTATCATCGTTGCGCTGCTTCTTTTTCTGCCATTCATCGATAAGCTTGCCCTTCACCATATCCAGGGTCAAATCATTCTCTGGTCGAGCTTCAAGGGCGGTTACCAACGTCTCGTACTCCTCCGGCAGACTGCTGAACAAAATCGCGACCAACCATTGGTCGTCAAGGATCTTTTCCGGCTGTACATTGTTGAGCTTCTCGAACAATTCCGACAACTTCGATACGTGCGCTTCCATATCTCCATGTTTTTCCAGGCGTTGACTACACATTTTCCGCATCACAGAAACCTTCGTCGTTAACGTTTTCTTGACATGGAATTTTTCTAGAGCTTTCCACGCCTCCGCCGCCGATTTGGCCTTCCTTGTGTGGATTAATTGGTTATCCTCCACGGCCAATCCAATCGATGCCAGCGCTTGATCATCCTTGGTCTTCCACGCACTTGTAACCGCTTCTGGCCTTGCGTCCGCTATGGTCGTCCAATTTCCTTCCTTGGTCAGCAACAGCTTCATCCGGAAACTCCAGTTATCGTAATTGGATCCATTGAGCCTTGAAAACGACATCAGCTTATCCGCCATCTCGTTACGAATTCAAATTCTATCTTCACCAGTTCCGATTGCACTGTCTGGGCCCATAACCTATCGGCAGAAGTGGGAACAATCGGACTGGACTCGAAATACTATTCGAGCTACAATTGAAAGGAACGTCTTTATTTGTCAGTAGTATAATTTGAACTGAAGAAAATGAAGTTATGCTCTAAAAGCAAGGCATACTGCGTTGTATATACTCAACAGGGTTTTGGTTCACGACGATTTTGAGTACTGCCCCGAACGGAAGAATCACCAGCTTGAAACACGAAACCAAGATTTTCAGCTCTGTCGGTCCTTTCATGAAGATAACAGGCAGCGAATCAGTGCGAACAGAGCTACGACGGCGTTCCTTAACGAAAAGTGCCTTGCTTTTCGACTGGTTCACAAGAAGCTCTCTCAAGGTCTTCGTTCACCATTCTTATTAGCTCACGAACACACCGGCCAATATATAGTTGAACGTCGTCAGCATAGATTTGAATTGAACAGGGAAAAAATGTCATCACAGAATGTCAAATGTCTTCAAATCTGGCATCCTTGGTCATGTGAAATATTTGATCGACAGTAACAAATCGCAGCCCGTGTTATAAATCACTAGTACATTATAAATTACTTGGTAATACGTAATTGAAACGCAATCCAACCGATCGCCGCCTTTTTCAAGCTTCACTTGAGGCCAGAACACAACGATACCGATAATGCGGAAAAAGTGTCAAATTTGACAGATGACGCCCTCACCGCTTTGTCGCTATCATTGTGTTGGGGTCTGTAAGAGGTTCAACCATGCAAACATAAAAAGCAAAACACTTTCAATTAAAGAGTTACAACCGACGGTCATTTTTGTCTCCAGTTAATTACCGAGAAAAGTAAACCGTACCGTTACAAATAGAAACCAACGCTGAAAGCAAAAGAAATCTATAATCAAGCTCTA